TTAGCCTAGCTTAAACATCCGCGGTTATGTAAAAGGCAGCCAAGCTGCGTGTGGGCAGGAAAATAGTTGGAGACGAGACCGTATAAACACCCAACAAACAAATACCAAACGTCGGCCGGTGTGATGGAGCCGGAATTGAGCTCCGGGGGTCGGTTTTGAGGCAGGGGGCGGCTGTGGGTGTTAGCAGGCTAGCAGGATGAGGCTTCATCCGTGTTTCGTCCGGTGTTTCGAAGCAGAATTACGTCTATTGTCCTGTCCGGTACACGTTTGTTACCGGTCTGCTTTTGGGACCACTGGAATGCAGATTTTAAGAGCTTGTTTTTAAACTAAAGTACAAGGAACACCGGTCATAATGATGCTCTTTAAAGGGGGTATGCTATGCTGCTAAGCCCATTTATTTGCTTGGGAACAAATGTTTTAAGAAGGACGAACATGTCAGTTTGTTTTGGGGCTTCAACGTTTAATTGAATCATCCATTTTGATTTTCTGTTATCACAATCTCAGGTCAAAGTTGAACTAATCAGCTTTCTCATCTTTATCTCCACCCAACATCAAGTTCAAATGACGCTGCATTCACTGTGCCTTAAAAGTTGTAAATCAGACTTCTTATGCTCATTCCTTTCTGATTTGCATTTAACAGCACTTTTTTATCAGCTGTCACACTTTGGTGAGATAAAACCTCTTATGTTTCATATGCAGGTTTTGATATTTGACATCTTATCTCTATTTTTTCTTTTATGTTCCAACGGGATGTTCGAGATTCCCATGTTCAGCTAGCTCCTGAACTCATCCGGATTCTGCCTATAGGAAAAACATTACTTGGACAAAGTGGAATAAGAAGTGCCATCCAGTTTAAGGAGCCTGTGTGTGATGGAGGGTAATCCCTCCACCCATTGGAGCAGCTTATTACCTGGTCACACTATTAATCCATTAAATAATCAATGGAATGCTCAGGAAAAGTGGGCTAAATAGGCCGCTGGGTTTCCTACTGTCAGTTTGGTGGTCTTCGCCTCATTTGTTCTGTTGGTGGTTATTATGTGCGTATTGAGTACAACTGAACTGAGGCAAAACAAATCAACATTTGGCTTTGGAGATGCTCCTGATAAAGAAAAGTCATCATCGTTCTGTTTAAATTCCATGGAAAGAAACACGTACTGATCTCAAAACAGCTTGTGTCTGAACTTGTTCATTTATCTCCAAACCGCTCTTCGTTATCCAGAAACTATTTAATCCCACATGTGAAGGACCCAACCATCTGCATTTTTACTCGTTCTGGTCTTGATGGCATCTAGAAACTCTGACTGACGCATCTCCATCAGGAAGCAACCAGAGTCAACATCACATACAGTCATACATACATTTACCAGCCAGTAACTTATGCCTGTTTTTCACATCACAAATCATTACAAGAAGACTGTTGACAAAGTAGATCTAAATCTCTGTAGATATACAGAATAAAACATTTCAGAGCATAAGTCATCTGTCTGTCTGTTTGTCAGGAACAAAATCAAGGATCAGATATATTTTGCTGGCTAAAAATTTTTATAAATTTTGTACAAGATAGTCATTATTTTTCTGTATTGATTAATTTATTTACACAGTGTTTGATATTTTTCAATTAATAAAGAAGTGAATCAATGGAAAAAAATAAGCTAACATGGAAAAAACATTGAAAATAAATGATTCACAATCACATATATGGAAAAAATTACAAAGAAATGACAATAACACAACATTAAAGCTATGTTAGGGTCTCAATTACAACAGTATTAGAAAATAAATCCTTGGTCTTTTGTCTTAGAAACGACAACCTCGTTTTTTTAGGCCTAAACGTGAGCAAACATCCCTGAAAGAGGGCCGTGCGCCCCTGATTAGAGCTGCTGACCAGCTATCTTCTGTGTCCTCTGCCCCCAGGAAGCGGGTGCGGTTCGACCGGGCGGCCGAGTTCCTGGCAGCCTGCGCCAGCGGGGACACGGAGGAGGCCGGGGTGATGCTGGAGGAGGCCGAGGACGCCAGCAGGGGGGGGGGCGACCCCGGGCCGGACATCGTAAACTGCTCCAACGCCGACGGCATCACTGCCCTGCACCAGGTGAGCTCCCCCCCCCCCTCTGTTAACTCATTGGCTGCCAAAGACGTCTATAGACGTCTTTTATGTTTTTCAATGCGAGTGGCTTTGGGGAACGATCGGCTAAAGTTTTTCCGTAAATATCAGGCTTCTAGACAGAGTATGTAGTAACAAATTGACCCTCTAGGGGGCAGTGCCACTTTTCATGGGAGATGAGCATAGACTGTAGGCAAATAAAAACAAACGCAATGGTTCGTTATGAGAGAACATGTCGCCGGTGAGACGCAAGTCCAAGAAGAACGGAATAAGGTAGAAACACATTTTTTTTCCTGATGAAAGAAGAGAGTCTACTCTTTCTTTTGGTGTGTTCGGTGTTTACATAGTCATAGCACAAACTATTCTGTGGCTCTGGAAAAATCAGTCAAAATGCTCAAAAAACTCTGGCAGTGAGCGACTCTCTGTTCTGAAAATGGCTGCCAGTCAATGAGTTAAGAGAACTTGATCCAAACCTCCTCTGCTGTGTGCAGGCCTGCATAGACGGCAGCATGGAGATCGTGACCTTCCTCCTG